ACAGAAAGACAAGTCCATACTACAACCTGACACACCATGCAATGTCATTAGCAAACCCGTTCTAATTAGTAAAGTATCCGAAGCTAATTAAACCCACGTCAGTCTAAACCACAGTATTGCCCACAGAAGGCGGTGACATGAACAGTATTAGGTAACTTTGTAAAGGTGAAAAGAGCAAAATTATATAAACGTGCAAGACCACAGCCCTGCGTGCAATTGCAGGGCGGAGACTCCATCAGCTGAGGGAGATGGAGGAGGAGCCAGAAGAAGAGAGAGAAGAAAATGAAAAAAAATGGAAATGGAATGAATGGAGAGAGGAAACCAAAAGGAGGAGAGGTGGTAGATAAAGAAGAAAGGGAAGAGGTAGAAGAAAAAGAAAGAGGAGGTAGAAGAAGAAGAAAAAGAGGGGAGGAGGAGGAGGAGCTAGAAGAAAAAGAGGGGAGGAGGAGGAAGTAGAAGAAAAAGAGGGGAAGAGGAGGTAAGCAGAAGAATAGAAATAGTAAAAGCAGTAGAAGAATTTAGAATCAGAACAAAAATACGAATACTAAAAACTAAACAAAAAGTAAAAAAAAAATAAAATAAAAAAAACATTTTAAGACGAAATTCCCTTACGAGAGGATCAGTGCCTCATCTGCATACGAGGTGCGACACCCATCTTTATATATGCCGATTTTTCTATGAGGAGTGACAGCGGGAATGAAGTTAATGGAAATATTTCATGATAAAGAAAAGGAACAGGCGCAGGGTACGTGTGCGCGCAGGGTGGGAGGAGGAGAAAGAAGGGAATGGAAGAAGAGGGAGGAGAAAAGAAAGGGGAAGGGGAGAAAATGGAGGGGAGGGAGGGGGAGAGAAGAGGGAAGGAGGGAAAAAGAGAAAAAAGGAAGTAGTAGAGGAGGGAGGGAAGAAAAATGTGGAAGGGAGGTAGGAGCAAGGATAGAGGAAGGGAGAGAGGGGAAAGGGAAAGGAAGAGGGATAGAAGGAGGGAGGGAGGGAGAAGAAAGGGAGATGAAAGGGATGAGAGGTAGGTAGTGACAGTATAAGCGAGATTTAAATGAACCGAAGAGCAGGGGAACACCAAAGCCTAATGCTACCAAAGGCAAGAGTAAGAAATTAAAAAAGTACAAAAAAGCGAAAATAAAATATTGAGAGAATCCCTGAAAACAGAAAAAACGTCTAAGTGATAGGCCTACGTAAAAATACAGAAAAATCCTAAAAGGCGGAGAAGAGGATGCTGGACCAGAGAGCTGAAACTGTGGGCGGCAGGAGGAGGAAGAAGAGGAGGAGGAGGAGGGTGAGGAGAGAAAGGAGCCCAGGGCTACAAGCACCAAGGTCTACCCCCTCTTTCTCCCTCCCACTCCCCCTTCCCCTCCTCCTCCTACTCTCCCCAACGCCACCTTCCAGACCCGCTTCGGCAGACAGACGCCTACGCCCACTTCTGCACCTCACTCTCGCCTCGTCCCTCCCGCTATCTCATTCTCGGTTTCATCCTCTCACTCGCTCGCTCACTCACACTCTTTCACACAAACGTACACACACTGCTTCTCTCTTTATCTTCTCTCTCTCCTCTCTCTCTCTCTCTCTCTCTCTCTCTCTCTCATGCTAAATATTTCTCACCCTTTTCCTTAATCCCTCTGTAATCCACTATTTTCCTCGCTAACCCGCTTATCCAAAGAAACCTTTAAGTAAGACCGCATGAAGTACCACAATCAAACATCATCAGCATCAACAAATACACATATAGGCCAAGACGCCGCACTAAGTACACATACAGGCCCGGGCGAAGCACTGAATACACCCATAGGCCTACACACGACGCAGGGCAAAGGGTCCTACGAAGCGACGCAGAACTCAACCGGGGTGTTGAAGTCACTGCGTAGGACGGGCTACACACACACGCACACACACACACTCTTCAATCTCATTTTTTCCTTCTCCGCCATCCTTCTACCCTGTAGGACCGCTACCTCAGACCCCCTCACCTCACTTCATCTCCTCTCCCCTCCCTCTCCTCCTCCTCCCTCCCTCTCCTCTCTCCTCCCCCTCATCTTGCCTCTCAGCCGAGGGTCTCGTATGAAATATTTACTTTCGCATTTTTTTTGTAACCCCTGGCGTGTTCTCCCTCACTCCTCCACCTCTCCTTTCTTCCTCTTCCCCCTTTTTCCTTACTCCTCCAGCTATTCTTTTTTCGGAAGATCTTCCTCCAGTTCCCCTTTCCTAGTTCCCCCTTTCACTTTCTTGCGCCCTCTCCATCTTTTCCTCCTCTTCATCCCCTTTCTTTATCCTCCTCCTCTTCCTCCCTTCCCCATCATCATTTTCTCTAGTTAATCTCTCCTCCTTCTCCCCGTCCCTCTTCCCCTCCCCGCTCCCTCCCTCCCACCCCCTCCCCATCTGGAGGTCATTAAAAGTCACCTTCAAAGATCTGACTTCATCTACTTTCGAACATTAAAAGGCAAACAGGTAAAGATGTTAAGACGATTTCATCATACGTCATCCACGGTCTACGTCTGGGTGAATCAGCCTACAAAAAAGTGAATGATAAAAATAAATGATCGAGCAGCACTTGTTAACAATTATTGCCATCCGTACACACATATACAGACACAAACGCACACAGGTTATTCTAACTTTAATATAATCTAGTACG